CTCTTTTCATCACAAAATAGTCCCGTTTATAGTCTGCACTTTCCTTCATAAGATTGGGAGTAAAAACTGAAAATTTACTCAAATTTTGTCTGTTGGCTCCAAAATTAGGGTTTATTTTCAGAAATATTTACAGCAATTCCAAGCACTGATTTGACGCCGAAGTAGTGCTAGATGTTACTACAATAGGTTACACACTTTTGTTTTCACGATTACAGAAGTTGTTACAAATACTGCAGACAGCAATTTGAAGTGCACCAGAAGGAAGCTCCGCCTATAAAAGTGGCGGTATGTTAGTTTTGAATTTCTCTTTCAATAAACGATCGATGCTCTCAACTTAGTTTCTTACTTCAATTTGCGTCACATGTTATTTCAGTGAGAGGAGCGCATAAAGTGGTATCGTCGTACAAACACCGTCTTCGAGTAGTTTTGTTGAATTTCCCGCCCGTAAATGCTCGGTCTCAATGTTTTATAATATTCGACATAGTCTATAACGTTGTCAGTTTCCTGGCAGGATACTCTCGGTGGTAACAAACCGTTTGACGATATTATAAGCTGTCTGCTTTGAAACACCATTTCGATCTCCAATCTCAGCAAATGACAGTCCACGAAAATACAAATCGACAACTCTTGTTCCCACTTCAACTGGTTTTTCGACTCCTTGCTTCTCCATCATGGACAAATGCCGATTTGTAGACACGCAATCAACATGATGACTGACCAAAAGTGACTGAAAGACAGACGCGCTGCAAAGTCTGGGGTCATCAGACTTTGCAGTCCAATGTTTATATTTCTAGTTTAACAACATATGTAAATGTGAAAACAAAGTGTGTAACCTATTGTAGAATGTTATCAACATCTAGCACTACTTCAGCGTCAAATCAGTGCCTGGAATTGCTGTAAGAATGTAAGAAAAAGTGCAGACAAATTTGTCTGGTGGTCAGAAGGGTAAGTCCTTCACTAACATTTGCACCTTTCATGAAGAAACAATACCATGAATCTGTACAACCCATGTAACTTAATGTGTGTCGATTTATTAATCACTCCAAAATAATTTCTGATGTTCATATACCATACCATTCATGTGAAATATGTACTTTTTGCAGGGAGATTGAAATCCAGGAAGCAACAACAAAATAAAGAATCAACAACCAAATCACAGGTAAATTTTAAATACTGAGAAGAAGTGAGGAAGTGCATATTTTGAAACCAAACATTTTTTGTGAGAATAATTGTAAAGACTAGAAAAATACTTGTAATCAACAATAGCTGAGTTTAGGTTCTCCATAGCAACCATGTGCTCGAGGGGAGGGGAGGGGAGGGGAGGGGACTGTGGTTGTCAATGTTGATGCTTTTCCAGTGAGTAAAAATATTAAGTGTTGACTATACCAGAACTACAGTATCATGTCGTTGATATTGTAGGCATTCAAGTTAACTTTGAACCTTGTATAAGAATGCAATTTAATTATGTTTTAAAGAAACTCATGACAATTAAATTTCAACTCTTTGTGCCATACATGTAGGGTTGTGATTTAATTACAGTTTAATTAAATTCATTGAAATTTCATCTTAAGTTTAAGTTAAATTTTAATTATGGCTTGCTTGTGTATTGGAAGAAATACACTTTTTTCATTTCACTGCATGTAAATACAACATACTGTAAAGGGGTTAATTATTCACTGGGTTTTAATTTAGCTTATTTCGCTGACTGGAAAAATGCGCTAAATTAAAACCCAGTGAATATGTAAAATTTAGCATAGAACACATTATCTAAATGACGAAACCGTGAATTTAAAACCCACTGAATATGCCTGAAATGGTAAATCAGTGAAATTTAAACCCAGTGAAAATTAGTCATTTTACAGTACCCAATTTACCAGGAGACAATTTTTATAACTTATTAGCTCCGCTGTCATCAGAGATGACAGAGCAGAGCTGTTCATATTAGTGGTTGAACATCAACAATTGCATTTTCGAGTTCTTGAAAACTACAAGCTCTATTACTTTTGTTACTTGCTACCTGTATGTAGGTACCTTGGGTGGACTTTTATCAGATTTGTTCATTTCATGACGATACTTCAATTTTCTATTTTTGATGAATATTACAGTGGTGCCAAGAAAAGGTACTCATGAAAAACATCATCTCCCATCATTTCACATGCTGATAATGTTTTAGCATTGACACTTGCAATAGTGGAAATACAAAGTCGATGCTCTCAGTCATTTTCACAAAGTATACAGCTGGCAAAAACCTAAATTTTTGTAAAGGAATTACAGTGCATATACACATCTATTTCAATTTTCCATAGTAACCAAGTATTAAACTCGCATCTTATAATGTTAAGGAAAGTGCAACAATTGCTGTAGATATTCACTATCATGACATGTTTCGCTTTGTTGAAATAAAAACTCTTCAATATTCAAATTTATAGTAATACAAGTACAGCGTTGCCACCAATGTTACTTCATATTTCAAATTTGCTGGGAAACAGAGAGATAATGGTTATCATGAGTACCCTCCTATTTCGCACCTGCTTTACTCAAAATTTTTAATTCCCATAGCCCGCAAAACAGGGATTATAATTTCACTTGTATGTGCCTGTCAGTCTGCATCTGTATCTCAGACATGCACATGCATTTGTTTCATGATCCAATTCAAGATGGTCGAAAAGTAGCCATGTAGGTGCTGAAAAATTCATCAAAATCAAACATTTTGGAACTGGATCTCGGTTGGACATATTTTATTTAAACATTTTTCCCCCAGATTTGTTTCAAATTAGCTGACTTTAATTTTTTAAGAATGCTGTTTTGGAGCCATATCAATAGCATGACTGGACTGATCATGTTCAAACTTGACATCTGCGTCATGCAAACACATTTACACATCTGTTTCAGAATCTGATTCGAGATGGCTTGATGATCATTTTCGTGCTAGAAATGCATTATGGGCATCATGGGCAGAATAAACAAAGGAATCACAAATAAAATGGCTCAAATTTGTATCATCATTATTTGACAATAATGTTGACAACCACATAGAATACAGATAAACTAAAAGTCCACTGCAAAAAATGGAGCAGTGTCCATCATGTTATTACCTCGTAATTTATGATGTAACATACCAGTAACTTGTTATGCAAGTTCTGTGCACCAGTATTGCTGCATATACAGTTTAGCTATGTTATTCTTTTTATGGAGTTACTGAGTAAATCTTTATTAAGTAAACAAAAAATGGATGGGGAAGTGTCATTGACAATGACTTGTTATGAATATTTTATTTATCACCACCAACTCAATTTGACTTGAGTCTGAGAAGTACTTCATTAATGAATGTACCGTACATTTTTGTTTACAGTTACCAGACTTCAGAGACACTGCAGCAGTTCAGAAATTCTTTCTTGAGCAAGTGCAGCTAGGAGAAGAACTCCTTGCACAAGGTACATGGTAAAAGCCCATGACTTAGAAGTCACTTTTCTGATACAATTAATGTATTTTTATTTATCTATATTTACTGAATTCATGATAACCTGATGAACCAAGAAAATTGTTATTTAATTCATTCTGTTATTAGTATTTATGGCAGTGGTCTGTTTGCATCTTGGCTTCAGTTGAGACTACTGTAAAAGAATTAATTATTCACTGGGTTTTAATTTTGCTTATTTCACTGACAGGAAAATGCGCTAAACTAAAACCCAGTGAATATGTAAAATTTAGCATAGAACACATTATCTAAATGGTAAAACCGTGAATTTAAAACCCACTGCATATGCCTGAAATTATGATGAATCAGCAAAATTTAAACCCAGTGAAAATTAGTCATTTTACAGTATATCCTACTAGTAGAAGTTATAAATAGATAATGTGCATCATTCTCATGCTCTTGCAGGTGACTTTGAAAATGGCGTTGAACATTTAACAAACGCCGTAGCTGTTTGCGGACAACCGCAACAACTTCTTCAAGTTCTGCAGCAAACTTTACCTGTCCAGGTCTTCCAGATGTTACTTCAGAGATTGCCTATTGTCAGTCAGGTATGTAAATATTTGTTATCTAATCCATCAATGTCACATTGCGTGGCTATGAAAGTATTCCATGGGATGACTGTCAAATAGGCTCTTTGTATCAAAACCAGTTTGGATGCTTTAAAACAATTTAAAACTAATTTCATATTATAACCTAATTTCCCGAACATTTCATGATTTTATAATTAAAGCGAGTCGTCACGTCCCAAGTGACGATAGCAACACACGCTAAAAACGCAAAGGCTCATGGATAGACGCTTCTTTGTTACACGCTATGGCCATCTGACGCATGCGCAGGTGACGACTCCCCCGCTTTAAGTGGCATTAACAAGAATTAAATTTTACTGAAGTCAATAGCATATAACCACAAAATTGTTCACTGCTGCATTTTTTTCCTGATTTTCCTGACTGAAAAATAGTTTTGTTTGTAAAACTTAAGCTATTACCTGTTTACTATGCAGTTATGTGCATTAAACTGCAAAAAATACGTTGTCAAATCATGACTCACAGGTATAGTAAAAATATGTTGCAAACACTTAGCATATGGGGAGCTGGCTTAATTAACCATTTCATCACATTTTAAAGAAAACAGTAGATTTACATTTTATATTTCATAACTTTCCAGTTTGAATCCAGTTTTCTCTGTACATCATTATTTACTTAACTAAAACGCAACATTGTTGCAGTTAAACTTGTACCCTCAGATCATTCCTAATTTGGTGGGAAATATGTACTTTAAAAATAAATTTTTTGGTGAATTTTCTGCACATCCAAATGTTGAAGATCGTTTTGATTCACCATTAGAATTTCATTTGCTAGCAATTTAGAATAGCGTACTGATGCACATGGATTCACCTTTGATTACAATTTTTAATGCCAAAAAAGCGGCAAATCAGACAGTCCATCAAACATCTTCTGTAATTCACTCATAATCCTACCTTTAACTATTCAATACCCCCACAAAGCAATGCAACTTTAATGCTTTTCTTTCTTTTTATTTCACAGCAAGTAGCTGCAAGTGCTTCGGGCACTGGAGGCCTGGTGGAAGACGATCTGGAGTAGACATATTGGGAACCAATTGGAGATCCCGTATAATATTATACGTACCCCTTTTTGTTGGACATCAATGATGGATACACACTCTATATAAATTACACTTAGTATTATTTTCTTGCGTTTTATACTCCGGTTATGTGTAATTTTCTTCCCAAGGTCAGCTGTGTTGGTCATTTGTGAAGCAAATAAAGGTTTTATACATATACTAGTAACCATGGTTATAGTTTTTTGATCCTTATCATCATATGCAGTTTTCTTGGAATTCTCTCTACAGGGTCCGTGGCATTGGGAAAATCCTTTAAAAGTCTTTGGATTTTTTGAGGTCTGGAAAGTCTTTGAGTTACAGAAAAAATAAAAAAAAAGTCTTTAAATTTCTACATAGTTATTACATTAATTCATTTTAGAAAGGCCTTCATATACATATACTTCATATACTTTCATATACAGGAATCTTGTAAAATCCACACTTCATATACAGGAATCTTGTAAATTCCACACTTCATATACAGGAATCTTGTAAATTCCACACTTT